CACACACACACACACACACACACACACACACACACACACACACACACTTTGACTCTCTGTTGTGTCACTAGTTTATTTTTGGGGCTCTAGAGCCATCTAGTGGATATTTATTGTCAGTGCAACTGTTTGTGGACTGTAGAAAATTAGACAAATTACACATGAAGAAAAAGTCATAAATATAACAAACTGCGATGAAACCAGATTAAAATCTGTGCAGTAATGAAAGCTGTAGATGAAGACAGCCTTTCGAACATGAAGTACAGCTGTATACATCAGTATTGAAGATGTAACATTATGGAAATTATTTGATGAAATTCGTTAAAGTTTCTGATCTGTAAAAGTAGCTTTAAAGCTGTTTACATATAGATATTAGTAAAAGTCATGAACTGTGAGCACTTTACAGGTGGTCAACGTGTGTGTGTGTGTGTGTGTGTGTGTGTGTAAGAGGTTTAGCAGAGTTATTACAGGTTCATAATAAAATGTCTGAGTTTAATTAAATCTGTCTCTCTCTACATACACACACACACACACACACACACACACACACACACACACACAAACACACACACATAGGGGAAGGCTCACTCATCGGGGCAAACTACCAAGCTCCACTCTTCCTGTTTCTGACAGTAGAGTGCATGTCATGTTATCTATGACACACACACACACATGCGGCTATAACTCAGGAAGCACTGACAGCAATCTGCAATCAACACCGAGAGACTGAAAGAGTTGAGAAGAGAAAATAACTTTTACCGCCGTTTCTCTAATTACAAGATGTTTCTCAAATTAGAATATTTAGAAAACAAGTAGGAGAAGCAGAAGGAATAAACACCAAAGAATAAAAAGAAAGAAAACCTGGAAAAGACAAGGAAGGGGTGAAGAAGAACAAAATGGGAAATTAAATTGCAACTGGAAGGAAAAAATACTGAGGAAGTGGAACCAAAACAGAAAAATAGGGAGGGATGAGGGACTGAAGTCACGTGGGGGAGGAGGAAGAGGGGAGGGAGGGAGGAGTAACGGCAAGTGCAGGAGAGTCGAAGAAGGAGCAGAGAGAGCAGCAACACTAGAAAAGAGGAGAAGAAGCAGAAGGAGGAGGAAAAGTCAGAGAAGAAGAAGGCTTTTTAAAAAAAACATCCTGATTGTTCGGAGTACCTGAGGGCCGCACACACACACACACACACACACACACACACACACTCACCTACACACACACACACATTCCTGACTGATGCTCCTGCTGGATGGACCGACACCTACTCCACCTCCAGCTCTGCACATTGAAGACCAACCTCTGCGACCAGACATGCATTACGTGGTGGGTAACGTGTGTGTGTGTGTGTGTGTTTATGTCTCTGCATGTGCTTGTGTGTGTGTGTCGTTTTGCATTCCTTGTTGCTGTGCAATGCCGTTACACCCCGACACATAATTCCTGTAAAATCAAAAAGCTTCTTCTACTTTGAAATGCAAATGTTTTGAACCTGCCTCTTTTAGATTTGAGGCTCCGCCTCTGTTACTTTAATAGCTGTCGTTAAAATCATCATCATCATAAGTTGTTCCTTTGCTTGCCGCTTATCTGCCCACCGAACACGTGGAGTCAGATATGAAAGAAACAACCACATGCACAAGTGAGGGGAAACAGTAGCCGTGTTCCCTCTGGTTCCCTGAAACTGTGACAGCAGACCAGAGGAAAATATTATGACTTCTTCTGGTCACAAAGATGAAGAAAGAAGGAAGCGGAGAGTGTTTTGTGGTTGCATGGAAACATGGAAACATGGAAACATGGAAACATGGAGTAAATTTCCTGAAGCTTGTAATTCTTCCTCTTTTTCCTCGTCTGTGTCTTTATCCCTCAAGTATGGAAAGGTAACCTGAAACTACAGTAAATGAACATTATTTTAACATTCAATTTAACGGGGAACACATTTATGTTGAAATAACTGCGGTGTTTGATCTACATGCACGCTCCTCTGCTGACAATTCATCTTGATTATTTCTTTCCAGGTTCTAAATAACGGCCTTAATCTATACTAATTAAAACTGTAGCGCTGACTGATGATGTAGAAATCCATTTATTGTTTTTATACAGCCTCCTATAAACCTCTCCTCTGTGTATTCCTTTAGAAGATAAATGATTGCAGATACTAAAAGTTGCATTCATCCTGCGGCCTGTTAAAGCTCACTGTAATGTGCGTTGACTTAGTGCAGATTAACGTTATTAATGGCACCACAGCATCAATTTAAAGCTGCATTGATCTCTATTTATATTAACAATAGTTAACATTACTATGTATAATGTAAAAGGTGCTGCTTGTAGAGATGAACTCAAAAATAATTATCAACCTACCTTTAGTTTTACGCAACGTTTCAGCGTCTTTCAGCTTATTGTTTTGGATTTGCTGCATGTGTCTTTAATGTTTTGGTTGACTCTCACCGTTCTCATATCCTTGTAGTATTAGCAAGTTGTTTTTAGCTAAAAAAGCTCTCATAATCAACTGTACACTGCCTAAGTTAGCGATTAGCTGGAGCGTTAAGCAGCTAAAGAGACGGATATTTGTTTCCGGAGGTGGTGGAGACCAAAAACAGAGCAAAAAGAGAGTAAATATTGCACCTATACGTTTGCTAGGTGGTCAGAAATACAAATTCAAAGGAATGATAGGGTTGCTTACGGTAATATTATGTCAATGTTGTGCTAACAGCTTGTTGCTTTCTTCTGAAGTGGCTAAAACAGCAACAAACACTCTACACGTTTAAAGAGGCTGATAAAGGCAGAGGAAGTTACTTGGTGCTGAAAAGACATTGTGCATGGTGACAGCAGTTAGCTAACATTTAAAAGGTTAACTCTTGTTGTTATCGCACCATGTGCTGCTGCTGACACCCTGACACAAACGTGTGAAGCATCCGAGAGAGAGTGCAACATTATAGAGAGATGCAACATGAAGTATGAGCGGACTATTGTTCGTAAAGCACAGCTGCTCCGTTTGAAACCTTACAGTGTGCATGTGTGTATATGTGTGTACAGTACGTGTGTGTATATGTGTGTACAGTAAGTGTGTGTTTATGTGTGTACAGTACGTGTATGTATATGTGTGTACAGTAAGTGTGTGTATATGTGTGTACAGTAAGTGTGTGTATATGTGTGTACAGTATGTGTATGTATATGTGTGTACAGTACGTGTGTGTATATGTGTACAGTAAGTGTGTTTATGTGTGTACAGTACGTGTGTGTATATGTGTACAGTAAGTGTGTGTATATGTGTGTACAGTAAGTGTGTGTATATGTGTGTACAGTAAGTGTGTGTATATGTGTGTACAGTACGTGTGTGTATATGTGGGACAACAAAGAGCATCAAGTGCGAGATTGACAGCTCAAGCAGTTCATCGATGTTGCGTCGCCATTTGTGATATTTGTGCATCTTGTTGAGTTTGATGTATTTTATCTTCTGTCTCATACTGAATTCAAGTCATGCATAAAACATATGGAGCAGATCAGTAACACTGAACGTTGCCAAAACATTTGTCACAGAGTCAGTGTGCAGATCCAGAAGATCCTTTTTTGCTCAACTGCTGTTTTCCCTCAGAGGAGATGTTCTTGTGCTGAATTTCGTGCACATACTTGAATATTTGAAAGATTACCCGCACGTGTTCAACATATCTAATATTCTTTAAGCTGTGTTCTCAACCTGCTTTTGTTTCAGGTCTTTATTTCCTAAATGTACTCGTGCCGTCTCTTCAGAATTAAATGCATTTTGTGTGCTGACTTCAATTAATTGAAGATAAGAAGCGAAAAATAAAGATAACATTTTACTATCAATCAATCTGCAGAATATTTTCTTGGCAACCAGACTAATCACTTAATCTATAACCAGTCTAAAAACAAATACAGAGAAACCTCGTCATAGCTTCCTAGAGCTGAGATATCATCTAACCTCTGCTTCTTATCAGCGCAACAGTCACACATCTATTGTTTCATATCTCATAATACAAAGACAAGCTGCAGAGCCTGGAGCTGGAACTACAACATGTTTCTCACATTTGCTTAAAATTTTACATCTGGTCATATTGTTTGATAATATATCTTTTATGCAGTCTGGGTGTTGTGTGAGGTACCAGACTGAAAACACCATATTTTTATTCATACAATTTCATCCTTTCTCTCTCTCTCTCTCTCTCTCTCTCTCTCTCTCTCTCTCTCTCTCTCCTTCCTTCCTCTCAGACATCACAGCTGCATCACTTTTCTCTCAAACTATTATTTCTGCATCTGCCCATCTGTCATCTCTTGTTCTGCTCTCACAGAACCTCTCTCTGTCTCTCTCTCTACCGTCACCCTCATCTGTCTCCCCCTCATCTGTCTGTTGATTCGTGGACGAGTTAAGAAGCTCCCGGTACGTACTTTTTGGTGGTATTTTTGCGCCATGACTTTGACCTCTGCACCTTATGCAGCGGATTTTAAGTCGTCGGTGTGTGTGTGTGTCTGTGTGTGTGTGCATGGTAATGGTAATGGTGAGGTAAAAGCTTTAATGAAGGTAAAGGGGGCTTGATTTTGTAGCTATCGGCCTCGTGTGGTTAAAGTTTTGCCGGCAGACTGAAGTTTGAAGAGTGAACTGAACGTTGTCGGTCTCACAACACAAACTGAATGTCATTAAAGGGTCAGCTCAGCCAAATTACTCAAATATATCCATTAACCATTGATGTCATGGTTTGGTTTCATTTGTCCAGGTTTTTAAGAAACATCTGAATCTATGCTTTTTAGCTTTACTGTAGTTGTTGTTGTCGTTGTCTGGATGTTCACCGCTGTTCGTCATTCTTTTCTCTGACTGCTGAATGATTTCCTTTGTGTCGGATCGTTAAAATGAAGCTGTAAAATCTGAAATAAAATGTTCCAAAAAATAATTACACAGAAAAATGTAGCTGACTGGAACTACTTTCTAAAAGAAAATAGTCCCAATTATTAGTATTTTGTTATTGTTTCTGTAAAGATGAGTCGCGGTTTAGTATTCAAGTAAACAACTATGGACTTTAAGGAGTGATTGTTTTGTGAATCGCTGTTTAAAAACGTTTTAAATCGTAACATCTATAATTCCATAACAGCTGAGCAGCTGATGAAGAACATGTGATATGAGTGAAAGCTCTAGAACAGCTAAACGGACAGAAAGCTAAGAGTTTTCATGAGGAGATTAAACTTAGTAAGAAAACATGAAAAGTGCATTTATTCATAAGTTACGCCCACTTGGCTGCTGTCCAATCAGTTTAAAACCCACAAGGTGACGCCCCCTCGCATCACGTCAGCCAATCAGGTAACCTGTCGCTACAACTCCCGCCCCTAATCACACAGGAGCCAATCACCTTTATCAGCACAATTAGCTGCTTTCACCTGCAGACAAACATTCACCACCTGCAACACCAGACGTCAGCTGGAGCTGCTTCTGTCTGTGTTTAAAACTACATGTTAGCTTCACGTGAGCATCAAGCCTGTACATCACTAAACGAGTCATGAACTCATGTTCATAAAAACACCTCAGAGATAAGAGAGGATGCTGAAGTTGAGATGGGTCCTGTCCTTAAATACTGCTCACAGCAGAGCAGCAGTTAGCTGGTAACGACTTCATTTTGTTCTCTAAATTTGAGAGCAAATGTGATTTTGAAAATGTAGTTAGATCCTGAAATATTGTTTGAATGTTTTGTAAGTTAGCTGATTAAATCCATTAACGTCATCGTGACGACTTGATCAATAACTTAAAAGAAGGCAAGCAGAGAGCCGGTGGTTTAGGTCTCTGTCCTTCATTTGATGTTCATTTATGTTGCTGGTTTTATTTAAATGTAGTTGTGTGTCGTCACGCCTGAAGAGATTTAACATGTCAGAATAACAAATATAATTTAAGTAAAGACATGCTGCTGTGTGGTTGCGGGTCGCCTCTAGCTGTTGTTGTGCCAAACTCCTGCTGCTCGGGGAGGGAACGCGCAGTGTGCATCTACTATTTTCGTGGTCACGACGAACCGTCCACGGCTCAGACGTGTGGGTTTGATTCCCGGCTGCGTTGTTCTAAATCCCCACCGGGTTTTCCATCATTTCACACAGCTGACAGACATCAAATATAGTTCTTCCATTTCAACATGAATCTGTTTTCTCCTCTCTGCACTCTCTGGTGATGCATTCAAGGCTTCCGTGCATCTGGTGTGTGTGTGGGTGTGTGTGTGTGTGTGGCTGCAGTGGGTGCCGGTGCCTTCAGGGTGTCATCTCCCGTCAGTGGAGTTATATAACCGGCGCACAGTCGGAGCTTCCAGCTGCAGGCTCACAGCCTGAGTTCTGATTGACTG